GCATGAATTGGCGTTCTTCTGCCATCAATATGTCAAGTCGCCTTTTGACTAAATAATCTTTCATAGATTGGACTCCTTCATCTACTATCTCCTTTGGAGGGATCACAAGAGGGTTTTGGTCCACGTTGAGCTTGGTAAGGTTGTCCAGTCGGGCAAATGAGTAAGGCAGTTCACTGATTTGGTTGTTGCTCAGATCAAGCTCCTTGAGATTTGTCAAGTCACCAAGAGAATCAGGAAGTTCAGTAAGGTCGCTGAAATTACTGCTTAGGTTTAGGACCTCAAGACCTGCCAACTTCCCAATTGAATGTGGAATGCCTCGAAGCTCGTTGAAGTGCACATCCAGAACTTGCAAGGATCTCATCTCACCAATAGATGTGGGAAGGGTGCGAAGTTTGTTCAAAAAAATAAGGAGTCTTTTAAGACTAACCAGTTCGTACCCAATGTTAGTTGGCAAGTAAGAGAGTTGGTTGAAGCTGGCATCCAACTCCACCAATGATCTACAATCAGTATGAAAACGACCAAGATATAGATAGATAGCACACAATGGCCCTGATGGGAGAAAGAAACAACAGGATAAAGAACCTGTTTGCAAGTAGACAACTTTACCTGCACTGGCAGATGCTCTCCGGCAAGGCAACTAGTTTGTTATTAGAGATATCTAAGATCTTCAGTTTTGACAGTAAACCAATAGAGTCTGGAAGTGATTCGAAAAGATTATTTGAGAGATACAGTTCTTGGAGGTTCTCCAGACCAGAAATTGAATCAGGTACTGCCTGTTTTCATAAAAAAAAAAAGCAATACAGACATAAGAAACAAAATTTACGACAAAGAAACAAGTAACTTATGCTTCCTTTAATACAACACTCAACCATGTGATAACCAATCATAGGCAAATCACCAAATCAAACTCCTAGAAGTGTAGACTCACGCCACCTCTACGTCAGCCACCAATTCAGCAGCCATAACAATCCCAATGATCCTTGTAGCTAATCACCAGAAGATATAAGAGATGGATGATTCATGAATGGAATCCATGATATTAAGAATTTATTTAACAATTCTCCACTTAATCTGGTATTGCATTCGCCTTGTTCAATCAGAATTGATTTTTCACTATTTTGCAAGAAAAAATAGTTCAGCAACAAAGTGATGCACATTTGAAGGAAATTTTCACCTCATCCCTTCATGTTGGGATGATTATAGCTAGACATCTTGATGCTCTGAAGCGAAATAAATACCATGTTTTTCTTCTTAAAACCAATGGTGAAACAGATTATTTGTAGACGTAAGAAATAATTTTGAGCTAAATTAGCATTGATTTCTTATAGCATAAACAGAAATAAGGCAACAAGCTATTGAATTTTACAACTACCTCTTGATTCCAAATTAATAAGACTTGACTACATGAAGCAATAGAAAATATCTGAGAAGATGCGTCAAAATCCTCATTTCCCACTCTTTTTTACATGTACCATATTCTCACTAAACCCCAAAAGAAACCGATTGGAATTGGAGATCACGTATATATGCAATTGGTTAAGGAGGTGATGGATTTCTATTGTATTTATTCTACTATCAATAAGTAGAGAAGAAAATTTAAATATGGGAATAGATCACCTAAAGTGATAGATCATCTATTCCTAAATCATATTTCTATTGTGAATCATCCACGTAGGAATGAGCTAAATAGCCCCCATTAAATCACATACTTGAAGCTTAACATGCAAAAATATATGCTTAAATTTAGGAATAGATCACCTAAAGTCATAAAATTGCAACCATTAATTCAACACAAATAAAAGGTCCCATCTAAGTTTATTGATGTCAAAAGCCACCCATCTAAGGCTTACCTCAAGCTGATTATATGACAAGTTCAGCACAACCAAGGAGCGGATTCTGCCAAATGATTCAGGTAGCAATGTCAATTGTTTACGAGATAAATCGACTTTCTCGATTCCTTTCACTGATGCCTCCTGCAAAATAGAAATAATTTCTTCATTCACTTCCACTTCCACAGCAGGATTCGTATCAGCCGCTTCTTCCAGTGCTACTGCGTTCACATCACCCCCTGAAACAGCCACCTGATAAATTTTCTCCAACCTCTTCTCTGCCTCTTTCAACAGTCTGGCATACGATTCATGCATCTCCTCCAATGCAATCACAGCCTTGTACATTTCCCTCTCCTTATCGGCCTCTTTGCGGCAATCAGCCTCCTTCTCCACAAGCTTGGACCTCCAATCCTGCTGATCCGCCTCTGGTGGCTGCGATGTCAGAACGATCTCCTCAAGCTTTTTAGCCAGGAAAACATCGATCTCAGACAGCTTCATCTTTGCTGTGTCTACTGTCTCGTGATCAGGGCGTTCGCCCAAGGATTTGAGCATAGATCGCGCCTGCGCTACGTCAGCTACCGCTAAACGCATGGCTGCAACAACCTTCGGATCGGTGAGGTGGGGCATCCGCTCGGTGAGCTCGAAATGGGGCTTCTGCGGCAGCGGCGACTGTGGCTTTGGTTGCTCAACGTCAAATTCATCGGCACCGGCGGCCGGTCGAACGCCGATCATTGGAAGTTTGGACATCACAAATGAGAGAATCGGAAAGTGGCTGGGGTTCGGATCCATTTTGCTTGCTTTGCTTTGCTCTCATGAATTGCAATCTTTCTAAGAAAAGATGAACACTGGATTGTACTCCGTAATATTGTATGTTGAATGACCTCTAAAAGATGGAAGGGACGTTAATAATGCGTATTAGGGGAACTATTTATCGGAAAAGGCGGAACAATCTACCGGATTGAATGGTTAAATTGACTGAAAGGTCAGTCGGATTTTACTTTGGATTTGGGGTTAAGAATTACTTATTCATAATCCAATGTAATTGGTTCAATCGATTCAACGGATTGTGAGTTTTATTTGTGGAATTTTTAGATTCATAATAACAACTGGATTTTACATTTAAGAACAATCAAATATAAAAAATGATACTCCTTTGTCCCTAAATCACTTACACTTTACGTAAAATGAAGTAAAATTTCAAATTTTTTCAATTCATTTTATTTAAAAATTGTTATATAAATATAAAAAACTTACATACTCTTTATTTAAAAAGTACATTAAAAGTTTTACAAAAAAAAAGGTAATAAGAATATTTTATTTCATCAAATAGTCAACGAAAATATTCTTATGATTTTTGAATAATAAAGTGTGTAAATCATTTAGGGACGGAGGGTATATTATAAAATTTTGTTTTGTTCTATGGTCTGTCAGGTCAAATTTGAGGTCAGTCAGGTTTGACCCATTTTTAGTGGGACGAGTTTGATCAGTAATATTTGTTCAAAATCAAATATTTTCAAATTAAGTCTCGAGTTAAAAACAGATTAGATCAATTCTTGACAGATCAAATTATTTCTAAAAAAGAGAATTAGAAAGTAACAAAACACTAAAGCGCCTTTAAAGTTGCTTGATGTTTAAGTTTTTAAAAAACAAAGAAGAGTGAAATAATGTCGGAATCAAATGCTACAAAACCATCTAAAATTGTGGCTTCGTTTCTCATGCGACTTAGTGTATTTTCAATCCGTCATAATCTCTTTCTAACTTCTTCAACTTATGTACACGTTTTCATAATTGTCTTTATTCAAAGTCGTCGTGTGCATCCACCTTTAAAACTAACTCAATACTTTCAAAAATACTTTGGCCTCACTCGTGGGTCGCTTGAAAACCTTATGGGGGTTACACATCCTAAACTTTTTCTAGATTGGGCACAATTAACTCTATAGTTTCTAAATTAGCATGAGTAATACTATCTTTTTTTGAGCTCTTCTCAATCCATCCCATTTCATCACGGGGTCTTACACTCACCTCTACTTGTGAATGCAACATCCACGCATAACAAGCCCTTAGATCTTGCTAAGTGAACTGAGCTTGCTAGTCTGCCAGGGCTATAGGGTTGCTTTGATAGCATTTAGATACATCCTGGCCATATGTGCTGAAAGTAACAAAACTTTTTCTCTCATACTTTGGTCACACTCGTGCATGCCCTAAAAACTTTCCACAGGTTCAACCATCCTAGAATTGCTTCAAGTCAAGCACGCTTAACTCCGAAATTTCTAAGTTATGAACTCACCAAAAGAAGTTGCATCTTGTTGGTATGAGTAGTACTGTCAATTTTAGATTGCATGGCCTTGCACCATTCCTCGTACTCGAGGCACGTCTTCGGCTCATCTTGGTCAATAAAGAAATATGTCAACCTCATGAGGTGTGAGTCTGACACCCAACTCACATACTCTGAATAAATAGGTTAACGAGCCGAATTGTTACTTATTTGGTATTCGGAAACCAAATTATTTAAAAACAATTTAAAATTTTTTAAAAAAATTCAACGTTTCAAAACAAATTTAATTATTCATCGGAGATAATTCAAAATGGTGTGGAAGCTCAATAAAATATATCACATCATTAAAATAGTGAAACTATAAACGTTTTAAACTAGTCTGCATCTAGACATCCCCTTTCCGTCTCACTATCCTCCTAGGGTACTCCAACTAAGTACTTGTGTGCAGTCAAAGACAAGCATAGATTACACGCTCACTTCATACCGGAGTGAGAGTATATCTATGCTTAAATCAACTTCTTGAATAATATACTACAACCACATACAATCACATAACATCATGCGAGAAGATCAAAGTATCAAATCACAACATTGTCAATCAAGAATCATTCTCAACATACCCTTTTATTCATTGCTCTTATACCTATCATGGCTAAGGCTCAATTCAACATGCTAGAGTTATGAACACTCGAGCGGATTCCTCAATGCCAATGCTCAGAACCAAAAAAATCTTCAATAGCGGGTTGGAGCCCCTACAAAGGTGACCCTTAGGTAGGTTGTAGACTCTCGTACGTAGATATTTAACCGCCTAGGTATACTATGTAGCCTACTTTTCAATATTAGCTCATCATTTAGAATTTATCACCATTGAATTCAATCAAATTCTTATCATAATTCATGCAAAATCAATTATATCGAACAGTGGCCTATCAGGGGAGCAGAGACCCTCCTATTATCATCATGTGTCAAACATAACAATTGAAGTGGTTACAAACTGATTCAGATTAATATGAAAAACATGTCTCACGATAACCGTACCATAGTGACCTAGCCTCATACAGTATCAACATACTACCAAATGGTAGTCAGTTGCCAGTACCGGGTGGTCCTTGACAGATTGTTTTGGTCATGTGGTGGTACTTAGCTTCTGAGAGCCAGTAACTTGCTTCTATCATACGGTACTTCACTGTTGAATATAAGTGAGCCCTAGAGGCCAACTTATGATTCCATATCTATAATATATCAAGAATAATAGGCCCGAAAGATTTTTTTAAGTAGTCTCGTGTGATTTGAACATAGCTTTTATAACGCCCTAAAACACGGCCTATAAGAATTAATTAATTAAAAATAATTAACTAATTGTTGAGATGGATCTGGGTTAATTGGAAATATTGATAATTAACTATAAATATTATACCGTTGTGTAGGATTCGATGAGACAGATCCAAAGGTACAAACGGATCCGAATTCGGAGCAAGTTAGCTCAAAAGTATATTTTTACAGAGGTATGTTATTTAATTACGGAGCACGAAACCCTAGGCTATTTAAATAGACCAACACGCCTCACCCTTTTTTATGCCTCCCCTGTTTGTTCGTGTAATCACAAGCAGCAGGACCAGACAGATCCGAGGAGAAGAACGAGAGAAGAAGAAGAAGAAGAGGAAGTATAACAAGAAAAATAAGAAGGAGGAGGAGGTTCAGCCGTTGCCACGCTCCTCGTCCCCGTGAGTTTTTGTTCGTCGTAGTTTAATCTTCGTAGTTTTGAGGTGAGTACGTGGAACCCTAACGTTAGAGTATTCAATTAGGTTTGAAACCTTTGCTCGTAGTCGTTGTATGATTGCATTGCCCGCAAGAAAACCTATACGGTTGTTGAATTTGCGACTTTTTAGTTTATGCATCAACCAATGGGTAGAATGCATGATTTAGGTGTATGTTTGGTGTTTTATGTTCCTGTATTTAAGTAACATGTGTATGCCTCTTCTTTAGGATGCTAAATTGATGGATTTGGGGTTTGTATGGTTCGATTTCCGAACTGAACTGATTGCATCAGGACCTGTCGCGATTGACGGTAGGCTGGTATCGCCAGGCGGTACCATGCAACCGTCACAGACTATGCAGTACTGCCTATGGTGGGGAATAAGGTGATGGTCGCAGTAGGTTATACCATCTGACGATTGCTAGCTACTATGTGACGGTACATCGTTACTGCTACCGCTTGACTGGATTATTTAGGTTGTCCCTTCTCTTGTTTTGTGTATGTACATTAAGACATGTATGTTTGTATGATGGTAAGTGTATGGATATTCGCATCCAACGCTAGGCTGCTATGTGCTTGTTTGTGTTTACCCAACACTTTGTGAATTGTTAATATCTTGGGTTGAACGAACCTTGAATCCTACAGCAAGAGCGGGCTGATCCGGCATGCAATACATGTTAACTAGTGTTGATCCAACACTACAGCTGAGGTAAGTCTACCTTGAGGAATCTCTGGGACTGACACATAGGCCTGGACACAATACTGGTTCAGTACAATTACCGGCGACGGTATCGCTGGTACCCATACCGTCACCGGCCACCGACCCGCCCCTCCAGTTCCGTGGAACTGGTACCGGTAGCGCCCCCCACGGTACCAGTTTCGGTGTCAGTTATTCAGTACCGGGGATACCGGTATCGGCACCGGCGGTATCGGTACTTGTTCCAGTACCCTATTATATATATATATATATATATATATATATATATATATATATATATATATATATATATTCTTTTGGCTGTCACTCCTGTCAGACCTACAGCCCACCTGCAAAAAAAAGATAGCATTAGTGGGGGGAGGGACCCCTTTAACGGCTAGAATGCCGTTGAGGGGAAGGGGGGTATAATACACCTATACACTATAAATATACTCTAATTTTTTTAAAATATCACACATTCAACTCTCAAATCTCAATCTCTCAATCTCTCATTTCTCAAACTATTCTTCATTTCATCTCTAGTTCTCTATTAATTCTTAATATCTCTCTTCAATATGTATACAATTTATATTCATATAATAATATAAATATATATTAATATATTATATAATAATATATAAATACATTCATTATTCATACACTATTATTTTACTAATATATTATATTGTTAATTTGTTATAAATTAATATTATAATTTCGAAAATCACTATATAATTAATATTTTAAATATTTAATTTAGTCTTTTTTTATCAAAATAAAAATATATTAAAATGTCGAGAGAGTCTTGTAGAAGGTTCGTGGATATGGCCGTTGTGAACCGAAGTTGGAGGAAAGGCAAAGCTAAAGCCACCTCCGACGGTTCGAGCTCACGTGGTTCTCAAGGAAGACACTTTGTCCCTTCCTTCCCTACTATCCCTGATCAATTCGTGGGCGACGCTTTGACGGATCAAGAACTTGAACATTATTTAGGAGGTAGAACTGACGCCAATCTTCAAACTCTTGAAGATATATTCGAGGACATTGATGAAGCAGAAATAGTCGTGGAGCCTACACTACAGAACAACAATCCTACCGACGTCGACGAGGAGGCAGGTGAGTCCGAGACCTCTCAAGGTGCGGGGAAAGGTAAAAAAATTAAAATCAGATTTATTTGTTTGTCATTTTTCAAAAGAAACAAAAAATGGCGAAGTTTTCGAAACTCGTAATTATTGTGGCACCATTAGTAAAATGAAAATTTCCGGCGGTTATGGTGGTCCGGAAAAACACTTAAGGGCGAGGCACCCCGTGGAGTACGCCAAGTATGCAGTGAAAAAGAAGGGACAACAAGAAATGCAAACCCAAAATTCTTGGTTTGCCAACAGGGGTAAGGGTGACCTTTTTGCTTATAGCGACGAGCAAAATAAGCAAAAAATGGCGGAAATGATTTGTGAAGAAAATTTGCCATACATGTTTTCTGAAAAACTTAGATTTATTGATTATTGTCAAAATGCATTAAACCCTCAAGCAAGACGTCTTTCAAGAAAAACAATTAAGCGAGAAATTATTCGACAATATAAACTTGAAAAAATGAATTTGACAAATTTTTTTCTCAATTTTGATTCTCGTGTTACTATTTGTTTTGATATTTGGAGTGAAACATATCATAATTTGTCTTATATGGGTATTACTTGTCATTGGATAGATAGTGATTGGATTATGCATAAATGTGCTCTTGCATTTCGTGATTTCAATGATTCTCATACTGCTAAAAATATTTTTCTATTGCTTGAGCGTATTCTGCGAGAATACAATTTAGTTAATAAAGTGTTTGCATTTGTTTTTTTAATGGTGGGGTGCGCCAGGCCAATGGTGCAAGACCAAGGCGATGCTTGAAAGCCCAAGACAGCAAGCTGCCTTTGATGGGCCTTCCCCCTTAAAGAAATAGAGTTAATATCGTATGGACCAATGACCCATATATCAGATATTGAACTGATAAGAACAGATACTACACTTGATCTTAGCCAAAAAGCCGAGAAAGGTATTTTTGTATTTGGTTTTGATAATGCTACTAATAATACTGCTACTATTCCTATACTTAAAGAAATTTGTCCCCTATTACGAGTATGGGTAGATTTCTGCATCAAAGGTGTGTTTGTCATGTTTTAAATTTATGTGTTCAATAGGATTAGAAGCTATGGGGGAGGGGGGGTTGACGAATATTAGAAATGGAATTAAAAAGATTTGGGGTAGTCGTATTAATATGAAATCTTGGAAGTCATTCTATAAATCTAGGGATAGAAGAGCAATAACATTTGCCAAAGATATCACTATTAGATGGAATAGTACATACAAAGAGGAGCTTGCTGAATTTCTTAGGAATGAACTTAGTTTTATGATTTCACTGAATGAATCTGTTATTGTTGAAAAATTGAATGCCGTATTAGAAGTTTTTAATAATGCAACTCTTAATTTCTCGCATGTTTACCAACACACTACAAATAGATTTTTAAAGAGTGTGTTACAATCGCAACATGTTTTCGTGAAAGTTTAGTTGATCTTGATTTGTAGTCCTATGTCTCTCCTATGAGGGATAAATGGTGTGCTTATTATTTGTACATTCTTGATATTTATAAAATTGGTATTATGTGTAATCCTCGCTTTAAGATTGAAAATTTTAAAATTCTGATTGACTATTACTACACTTGTTTTTTATATGAAAATAATTATTACTACAACCATTTAATAGAATGTGCACAAGAAAGAGATAATGCTATTAATCTTTTTGAGGCTTTATTTAGAGAATTTCAAGGAATATACGGTAATGCACCGGAAGAAACAACACCTCCTCTGCCCCCAAGCAAAAAAAGGTTTTAAAGGAACATTCGGTGGGCTTTTGACAAGAAAAGGTAAGCGTGGTCAGCCTTCGACGAGTTCAGGTGATACAACTGTAAGCTCGCACAACGAACTTGCTATGTACCAAAGGGTTCCATGCGATTACGAAGAAGACGTGGAGTTTGACGTCCTCGCATGGTGGAAGCGGAACGAACACATGTTCCCATGTCTCGGAATGCTAGCAAGACAAGTTTTATCCGTCCCGGTATCAACCGTATCAGTGGAACAAGAATTCAGTGCTGGCGGCAACATTCTAACCGACTACCGAAGTTGTCTTAGCGCTGAATCGCTTGAAACACTTGTTTGCAACTGAGATTGGCTCTTGGCAAGACGTCGAGCTCAAGAGCCAGGGTACAAATTCAGTTCTGAACATTACATGAATGCAACCACAAATGGAAGCCCTAGTTTTGAGGAATAAGTTATAAACTTTTTTTAAATGTTAATGTAAATATGTAATTAGTTTTTTTAGGTGAGTGATATAAGCTTCTTCGAGGGTTTCTTTACCTCGTTGCTTTTTTGAACCGTCAGGGTATTAAATATAGTTGTTCCTCAGTTCGTGTATTACACAGTTTACAATATTTAAATAACAACTACATTTTTGGATTTTTTATTTTATTATTGATGGTGTAAATTACTTGACCGGTCAAACTATACTAGACCGGGTCTAAAATAGTTCGCTTGATTTGGCAAAGTAAGAAAGGTAAAAACACGCAAATTGACCGGTAGGATTTTAGGTGGAACACCTGTAACCCAATTTATATTATAACGGAGAATGCACGAGTGCTTTTACAAGGGAGTTTAGAGAGAATGAATTCGGATCCCCTCATTCGAGGGTTACAAGAGGTATATATACTAGGCTGGGGAGCAGGACCACGTGCGCCCACGTGGGGGTATGCTGCTGGCGTGGTGTGAAGTGACTGGCTCTGAGCTGCCTTGTCATCTTGCGCGGGGGGTGGCACCCTTGTCGCGTTCTGGTTTGGAAATATTCCCTCAGCATCCCTGCAATTCCAAACACTACAGTCCAAGTCCTTTTGGATTCCTCTTGCCGACACTTCCCCAATCTCTAGGAACTACACCGGTTGGTTCTTGCAGGTTGGCGTGGCCATCTTTGTAGGGTGAATTAGTCGCCGGTATAGTTTGACCGGTATACTATCCTAAGCATACCGGTCAACCTTTTGGTCAACCAGTCATCCCTTCGCCGACGATCTAGACCTCTCTTGCAAGTTTGACTTCTTTGACCGGTCAACTATCCGGTCTTGACCGTTGACCGGTCATGGGTGAAATACACCCATCATTAAGCCCTCCACTTCTCGGTTGTGCAATTTTGTCATAAGCGGGAAGTAAAAACTTAAAACTGGACCTTTAAATTTGAATTTTTGGCTTTTCCCGCTCGAAATTTTTGAATTTCAAAATTCAAAGTGTCGGTTATGACACGTGTTGCCCGCTGGACGGCGTCAGACCTGCGCCCTTTCGTCTTCCCAGGTGCAATGATGGCGCCGCCTGACGCGGCGCGCCCTGGTGAAGCCACGTCGCCTCCCTCTCTCTCTTCCTCGCCTATATAAAGGCTTCCATCCCCACTGCCTTCCTCACTTCTTCCTCGCGCATTTCTCGAGTTTCACCGGTCAACTTCTCTCTCCTGCCCTCCAGCCCTCCGAGCCAAGTAAGCTCTCTTCCCTCTTCAGTTTTCATTCCCGGTCAATGTCTTCTTCTGATAGTCAAGGTATTTCTTCCTCGGATGCCTGCGCATCCGAGGAATCTTCAACCTCCTTTTCTTCGACCGGGTCCTCTTTATCCAGCTTCGAGACCTGGTCAGGCCCCAACACCACCGTCCCTGAACCGCAACCTGTTAACCAGATGCCCAGTCAGGTTTCTCAGGAGAGGGGTGAACCGGTTGACGATGAGCCGGCTCCCTATGACCCTGACAGCGAGTCGTACGAGGGATGGGTGAACCGGCTCGATGCCGCCGGTTATTCTCCTCTCCCTTCCAGCTACCCGCTTGACATCTACCCCCGGGTCTCTAAGACTGCCCAGAACAAAGCCCGTAGGAATCTCCCGGAGGGGTATGTCCTTGAATACGACCCTAACTGGCGCAATATCATCGAGCCTCACCGGGACGATAGGGTAGGATTCCATATCATCTCCCTGGAGAGTGGCACCGTCTTCCCCCCTTCGCCCCCTCCTGGTCGAGCTGTGCCATTGCTTCAAGATCCTCCCCGGGCAACTTACGCCCAATGCCCACCGTTTTCTTAACGCTTTTGTAAATATCTGTTCCCATCTCAAAATCGACCCTTCTCTTCGCTTTTTCCTCTATTTGTTTGAAGTCCTTCCCGGTAAGTCAGGTTGCGACGGCTATGTCTATTTCAAGGGCCGTAACGGTCGCCAATTCATTTTTGACCTTCCACAAAGCAACCGGCTGTGGAAGGAAAAATTTGTCTTTATAAAATTCCCCACCGTTTCCCCTTTGGCCGGCATAAAGTGGAGTGACCACCTTTTGAAACCGCAATACACTGAGCCGGCTAACGCTCCAGACTTTGAAGAAAGTTTGGAGAAACTCTTACAAGGGGACCCGTTCACCGGGCAAATGTTCCATTACGTGGCCTGGATTTGGAGGATCTCACCGGGTGGCATGGGTACCCCCCGGGCTGATGAAGCAGCGGGGCACGGGGTACCCGCCCCGGGCAACACTGCGGAAGCTGAGGGTTCCAGTCACCCAGGTATCCCCCTTTCCCCTTCTTCCTTCTTTCTTTCTATATACCGGTCCATGCTTGATTAATATTTTCGCTTTTTTTGCAGAGATGAACTTCAGAGCATTCAACATCCCCACCAAGAAGACCGGTGGCTCCTCCTCTGCTGCCCCAAGAACCGTACCGGTGCAACAGGAGCCGGTGGAGATCAACTCCGAGGAGGAAACTCCTCCGACCGGCCAGGCCGGGAGGACCACAGTAAACCCTCCCATAGACAAAGGGAAGGGGAAGGTCCGAACCAAGCACGCCGCCACTACCCACCCCTCGGCAAAGAGGAGGAGGGGAGAAAGTGTCCTGGCCACAGAGTCGCTAGAGGAGCTCTGGGTCAAGATGGGGCGAAAGCTAAAAGAGGTAACATCCGCCCGGTACACTTTCCTCCGTTTTATTACTTATTTGCCGTACTAACCGGTATGTTTGGTTTTGCAGATGGGCGAGGACCTTGGGGAAGCTTGCCGAGGACTCCCCTTCCCGGTCACTTCAGTTGGAGGAAAAGCTGAAGAGGCTTGAAGCCCACAACCGGGAGCTTCAAGACCTGACCGCCCGGCAACTTGACGAGATGGCCAACCTCTCGGCGGTTGCCGGTAGGGCGAACGCGGAGGTCCTCCAGCTGAAGGAGGAGAACTCGCTGCTGATGGGGGAGGTCTCCCACCTGAAGGAGGAGGCGTGGGTGAAGGAGCAAGA